TTTTTTTTTTTTTTTTTTTTTTTAGTAAGTCCCCTCCATATTACTGTAGGCCTTGAAGGCTATGTCTAATAAAAGTGTTAAAAGGATTTTAGGCCCTTGATTTAGTCTTCGGAGCCTGCACCTGATGTCAGAACAAGGATGGCTAAAAGATATATATTTTAATTACACATTTTATACGTTTTATACAATTTTTATAAAATAGAGACTAGAGACCACTTGGATATTAAGTGACACCAAAACAGTGAATAATATTCTCCCAATTTTGAATAATTAAACATTATATTTTTTTTTATATAGTGTCTACATATAATACTGGAGAGAAAAATACAGGAAACACAAAAGTTATCATGCTGCCTCTCTTGTGAAGAAGCTAACTAGTTTTTTACCATTTCTGTCATTAACTATAAAACAGGTGGTTGATATAAATTATTTTACTTTACCTTGTTTACCTGTCCTGTGTCTAAAATGTTACTATTTTTTACATACACATTTTTGCATATAACACCTCTTTGCCAGGGGCACATGGGATAAAATAGTTGGTTTTTTTCAACCAAGCAATGAATAGGCAATTGCCAAAATCCAGCAATGCATTACCAAAAAGGCAAGGGATTTCATAAAATACAAAACTGAAATTTTTAGATTTACTTAAGAAGCTAAAATTTTTATACTAATTTTTAACCAGAGTCCAGACTATTAAAAACAATTATAACATTATACAGTTTATAGAGTCAAGGCCAAAATACAGAGATACAGGACTCCTGGGAAAAGAAGTTAAAACACGCACAACAGTATAAGGTACTACCTTCACTTTACTTGTATTTAGAATTATTACATTCTAGTTTCTAATCTCTGCATGTAAGACACCATAATAGCTGTTTATTATCTCTTTAGAATGCACAATTTAGACACATTTTTAATTAAAAAAATTTTTTTTTTAGTTGAGATGACATTAAACTTTAGTCTCCTTACAATAAGGAACAAAATGTAAACCTGAAAGTTCAGTAAATGGTTAGCAAATTTTTATTATTAAACTTAGCAAAACCTTAGTTTAGTTTTAGTTTTTCCTTAGAACTGGAATTTTAAGTCAACTTCAGAGTTGCCACTGTAACAATTTTATATACCAAGTCTTTTTCCTTAGGCAAGCACTAGATATGTTACAGGGCAGGGAGAGGGGCAGCCCAGACCCCAAACCTGCCTGTTCTAAATAGGTTCTGCCATCAGCTGCATCAACACAAAACATACAAGACTTTAATGGGAAGGAACTTTAATACAATTAGGAGACAATACAGGAAAGGCAAATAATTTAGTTTTTAAATTAAGCACCCAAAGTGGGTAAAACTCTGTCCCCTCGTGGGTAAAACTCCGTCCAAATGGGATTGGCCCAAGCCAGGCCCCAAAGCCTGCCACAAGTTTAAGGCCTCTTCCAGTGAGGACCCACAGGAAAGGGTTAGAAACAACCAGACAAGCTCGGAAGGAAAAGAGCAAAATTAAAATCAAGATAAAAGTTGCCATTGTCTCCTAATTGTATTAAAGTTCCTTCCAAAGACAGCTGATGCAAACGCAAAAGGGAGTTTATTACGGGCTCGAGACCGGGCCCTCGACACGCACCGATGCAACGGCAGAGGTCGAGAGCCCCGAACAGAGGAAGCAGGGGTATCTTATTGGGTCGCGAGTGACGCGAACTTTGCAAGAAGCTGGCAATTACTCATTGGCTACTACAAAGGCATTTTGGCACGCGCGGTTAGTTTCAAACTCATTGGACGGTTAGAGATGCTGTCCCATTTATGGATAGGACTGCCCTCATTGGTGGCTGGGGTGGTCTGCTTTTTCGTCACCAAGTGGAGTGAGGGTTGTGACTGCTGAAACTATCTCCGGAATGCGGCTGGACAAGGACTAACATAGCAAGGTGGAGGATATACAAAATGGCGAAACCTCGGCTAAGCTTGGTTCCACACTTATGAATACTCTACTACAGACACACGCAAAAGGGTTAATAAAAGGTTTATTTACAAGAGAAAAAGAAATAAGGAAAATATACAACTCAGGGAGAAAATAGGGAAATAAAGTCTTTAATGCGTCCTACCCGATCCGACGACCTGGAAACCCAAAGTCACTCTCTGAGCTGGCTGGAAGCTGCGAGCTGGTGGAGAGCCAAAATGGAGAGCCCCCCAAAGCCCACGTGTCTGCCTTTTGTATCCACCTGGCTGCTTAACCCCACCCTCAGGTCCCGGCCACCTTCCCTTTGGTGGTGATGGGATTTGGAGTTCCCAGTGTCTTTGGCTTTGACCTGGGGTGGGGGTGGAGTCTAGTAGCCTATATGGAATTTGCTTTGGGACATTCTTTTCCCCCTAACACTTACAAGGGACTTATTAATACTTCACTACAGGCATACACAAAAGGTTAATAAAAGGTTTATTTACAAGGGGAAAGGAAATAAGGAAAATGTACAACTCAGGGAGAAAATAGGGAAATAAAGTCTTTAATGCGTCCTACTCGATCCGCTGACCTGGAAACTGAAAAAGCACTCTCCGAGCTGGCCAGAGGCTGCGAATTGGCAGAGAGTCAAAATGGGGGACCCCTCCAAAGCCCATGTGTCTGGCTTTACACCAACCTGGCTGCTTAACCCCACCCTCAGGTCCCAGCCACCTTCCCTTTGGTGGTGATGGGATTTGGAGTTCCCAGTGTCTTTGGCTTTGGCCTGGGGTGGGGGTGGAGTCCACAAAGCCTGTATGGGATTAGCTTTAGGACATCATTTTTCCCTTAACAAGTCCATTGTAGAATCTCCGGTCCCTTTCAAATTCTACATAGTTATCCAAAATTAGCAACCAACTGACACTAGGAGTGATCCCTCCCAAACAGAAGAATACTGTATCAGTTCAGTCTCTACACTAGCTTGGGGCAGCAATGCCACTGCTCACCTGTGACTATGCAGGTGCTACTTTTCACCAACTCTCCTCTGCAGGGCAGCAGCCTCCCTGCCTGCCTGCAACCATGCAGGCCTCTCAGCAAACCTGTCCCTTTTTGGGCAGCTCTTCCTGCCCGCTTGTGTCTATGCAAGTGCCTTTAACTGTTTTATCCCTTCCCTAATAACCCTGCCCTTTAAATATACTCCCATCTCTGTCTTATGGAGAAACTCACCGGGTATCGCTGAAACAGGAGCTCTGGTGACATCTTTCCCAGAGTGAACCCAAGGACCCCGTGCTACAAACCCACAGACTCCAAAAACGACAACAGCCCTAGAGACCAATATCTGAAATAAGAAAACAAAATTGAATTTACTGCTTCCTAATGTAAGGGAATGCTATGCTTCTAGTCATTTACAGCGTCTGAAAGCAGAGCAGATCTTACACTGAGTTCTGGGGCCAAGAAGGAGTTCAGGGATTGGTGAGTTTCCAGAGGCATGTCACCTGTAAGAAGCTGGGTGTTGTTGACCATTGTCACTCAGAGGCTTATGCACTGGGCTGTTTGGAATTGCTAGCTCTTAGAGGTGATGGCTGTCCTTGATAGTTTGATCTTGATAGATTCAATCTTCTGTTGCTATTTGTCTCCAGTTATACTTTCCTAGGAGTTGGAAAATTTTTCTTTCCAAGAAGTAAATGTCTGTGAAAATAGTTTTTAGTTATTGTTAAAATTTGTGAAACAACTGTGACCAGAATCACTCCATTGTTTTTTTTTTTAACTCTTAAGCTGCCAGTCTGCTTTCAGAAGGAAAGTCTATTTGCTGGGCTGTGGCCCCAGTTTCTGAACGCTGGCCCCAGTTTCCCTCAGCCAATAAAAGGAAACCGAGTTTGAGGAAAAGGAAAGTGTTTTATTGTCGACAAAGGATACCACTATCAATTGCATTTAGAAAGACTTTGTTCCAGTGAGAACTTTCAGAGGAAAGGGTCTGAGCCTTATTTGTCTTTTTTTTTTTTTTTAAAGAAAAGATTTATTTATTTATGCATATAAGAACTGGGGTATAGGCCAGAGGTGTGGGAGGTGAGAGGATTCACCAGAGACAGAGTTGGGAACATAATGATACTGGAATTGTCAGGCCTAGTCTCCCAGCCAGGAACAGATCCCAGGCTGCAGGGGCAGCGCTGAGTCCCAGCCACTAGACCCCCACGGGCTGGTTTCTCACGAAGCTGCAGCAGGAACTTCGCAGATGCTCAAGCCAGCAAGCGAGAAGAGGCAGGTTTGTTTAGAGAAAGAAAAGTTTATTGAGGAGAAAAAAAAACAGAAATAAAGTGGGACTCCCAGGCCATAGAACCAGGCCTGGGAGGGGCAAGGAAGCCAAAGTGGAGTCGTGTCCCAGGGTATTTATACCTTCTTTCCCTAATTATTCTAAAGCTTCACCAGTCTCTCTGTGATTGGTTAGTTCTTGGCTGTTTCACTTAATTTGCTACTGAGCAGGGGATCTTCACATTCCTTGTCTAACAGCTTTCTCTTTCCCCATTTGTTACTTCTTTATCTTTATGGCCCAGTCCTCTGATGAGCATCTCTGCATTGAAGTTAAACAGCTGCCCTTTTAAGTTGTCCATAAATTAAACCATTCTCTATTTCTCCAATCTTTGCCTCCCTTTACCACCTGAAGGAAACCAAGGCCAGCATTAACAATGTTGTCCTTGGTCCTGAGATGTTTGTTTTTCCAGGTGGAATTAGTTACACTCCTCTTGCTGCCCTTATCTCTGAAGCCTTCCTCAATTCTCCGAGGCCCCCTCCTGCACTGTCCCTAAAACTGCCTAATTCCTAGCTTGCCCTGTGTCTCAATAACAGGCAGATTGAGCGAAGTACACTGCTGAGGTGAGCATCCGGCCAGACAGGAGAGGTCTGCCGCGCCATGTGGGTAGCTCCCTGGCCGGCCTGGGGCCTGGATCGTACTAGCGCTGCAGACTGCTGACAGCTTCACAGCGCTGTGCTTAACTCCTTGTGCCACCAGGGAGGCCCCTTTTTTGTCTTTTAATCTCTGCCTAAACTGGGAAAATAATAGGTGCTCAGTTCATGGATAAATGAAGTATTTAAAAAAAACTCTCAATTTTTAAGAAAGGCAGAAGAAAAGAGTTGAGCAGAAAGCCTAGAAACCCCAGTTTTCACTAGGTTTGCCAGTTCATAGTAAGACAGCTACAATGACTGTTATGTGATTAACCGATTGACGTTAGTGTTGCATGTGTGTGACCCACCACATAATTGTCAGGATTCCAGATATCTGTCCCTGTGAGAAGGCTCAAGAAGATAAAAGCTGTGCTGGGGACAACTCCACCAGTTTAGTGAAGACAGAATTTGTCCAGAGAAGCCAGTCCCTGTGCACCCGGGCATTACAAATCTCCACTTGCTGGCAATTCCACCCATGTTGCATCATCCTCCCAGATCTACTTTGCGATGGGCGCGAGATGCGAGCCTATAAAAAAGGGAAAACATGCGTTTACGTTTGCGGGGCTGCGGTCAGCGAAGGAGGAGCGCCGACCCGGGAACAGACTCACGACCAGAGGCGGCGCCGGGACCGCATTGGCCAAGCCGGCGCCACTCCTCGCCAGGAGAGCCAGGCGCTTGGGGGAAGTGGCAGAGCCCGACAGCGGGAGGCGGAGACGACCTCAGCTGCAGAGGAAACATGGCTGAGTACTCGCGGCTGCACAACTCCCTGGCGCTGATCCGCCTCCGAAACCCACCGGTCAACGCGTTCAGGTAACAGGCTCCGGCGTCTCTCGCCTGGGGACCGCGGAGACCTTAGCAGCCTGCGGGCTCCGGAGGCGGTCACTCTTTCCTGCTGGTTTAAACCTCGAAAGACACTCACACAGGTGGAACTAGTGCCAGGGCCTTTATGCATAGGTTAACTTGGTTGATCTGTGTAAGGAAACTGCAGCGGAGAGGCAGGCTAACCCCGAGAACTTGGCTCCAATCGGTCTGTCCATGCTAACTTCGTGCTGAACCGTTCTGTTTGCTTTTGCAACGTTGACTTTCAGGTGTACTTTGTATTCCAAAGATCTTCCTACAATGCAAAATAGATCTTGACCCCTCACTTCCCAGCCCCCCACTTCAGGCCACTTTTACCATGGTGTACCTAAAAGATTTAGGAATCCGGCAATAAGGCAGTTTCACATATTTAGAAATACATAAAAGTCCCCATGAATGCCAACAGTGAGCAAAGAAATGCAAAGTGACCCAGAAATGGAAGGTTTTCCCTCCTGATAGGTTCTAAATGTCAGGGCCTTAGCGCTTTAGTGGAAAATCAGTGTCAGGGTAGATATTAAATAGCATTCTCTAAAAAACTACTATGCCTTTTATTTTATTTATCATGTTAAACTCTCTAACCCAGATTTGTGCAATGCACTTACGCCATTACTTATAAAAAGTAGATCTCTGCTGCTTAAAATAATAATGACATTGCATATGTTTGGTTATCCCATTTCTCTGAAAAAAATTATAGTGATACATCAGCCTAGGAATGAGTCACCCATCCACAGGAGTAAAATTAGCAGAAATTATAATTTACGTCAAATACCTAAAGCATAGAGACAAAGATCTTTGATCAAAATTCTTATCACAAGAGATTAAAGTGAGGAGACCTCCTAATTTTAACTGAATTTTTACCTGACTATATTAGAGTTTATTTTATTGTAATATTTTATTATTTTTTTAATTAATTAATTTATTTATACAAGAACTGGGGTACAGGCCAGATGCGCAGGGGTGAGAGGATTCACAAGAGACAGAGTGGATAACAGAACAGGCAGACAGACAAAATACACTGCTGAGGGGGGCAGCGGGTGAGACAAGAGAGGTCTGCCTCGGCATGTGGGACTCTAGCCCTGCGGGATCGAACCGGTGCTGCAGAGGCTGTGGACAGCTTCACAGTGTGGTGCTCAACTGCCTATGCCACCAGGCGAGGCCCAATATTTCATTATTTTTAAAGAGTATTTTTATACTTGAATTCTAAAATTATATTTAATTAAAATGTATAGTTACAAATGAACTATTTCATTACTCACTAATTGTATTATAATTCTCCTTTTTATATGAATTATTGCATTTAATAATACCAAAAAATTGCAGGATTAAAATCACACAAGAATGCTATATCAACTCACTTGCCATTCTCAGAAAAAAAGCAAAATATTCACTATTTTTGGTTTTGACAAAGAGAACCATAAGTAAAATGACTACATATTCATTTTGGCCTTGTCTATATTCTAATTTAGAATTATTAGATATTCAGGCTTTCTTTCCTACCCTCTACTCATAAAGGGAAACTGCCATCAAGAACTTGGGGAGGTGTGGGGGAGGGGGGATTCTATAATCTAATACTTATAACTAACAATATTTTCTCACAACGCTTCAAAATGTTTTTGATTTTTAACTTACCTCCCTTACAGGAGAAATGTTAATCACTAGATCATAAAGTTGCTGTTGTTTCCAAATGTGGGCCCACTACTTAAAGGCATAGAAGCCAAGAATCATGCCAGCAGCATTTGAGAAAAGAAACTAGTTAATGTAAGGTCACCTGGCAGAAGACTGGCAGCAAGGCTTCAATCTCCCCAAGGATGGGGCTTTGGCCAGTATTTATGGAGTTAAGGAACAAAGAAAGTATTTAAAAAAAATGCACGGTGGTAAAGTCCAATTGTTTGCTTTCTGCTGAATCATTGTGTCACTCAAATTCGGTCCAAACTGCCAACAAAACTCAGTGCCCTTCATTTCTGCATGTTGTCTGATGTACCATGAACCAGTCCTCCTAGACCCATCATCCATTACTTTATCTATTTGGGCAAAGAGAGGTCACCCTGAGCTCTGAAACACAACTGTTAATTTCTGAAAAGTTTGGTTTTCCCTCATTTAAAATGGTTACTTTTTTTTTGTCCCATTGTTTCACTCTTGCAAGCCCCCCTGCTGTTCTTGCAGATTATATAGAAACCAGAAAAGACCACCACAATCACCATGGTTTCAACATCCTTTGACAACAGTCAGTGTTCTCTCTTCTTCTATTTTTGCTGAAAAAAAAAAAATTTGGTCACAAGTCACAAAGTTGATTTGATGAAATTTATTTTATTTTTTTTTAAGATTTATTTATTATGCATCCAATATCTGAGATGTAGGCCAGAGGTGTGGGGGGTGAGAGGATTCACCAGAGACAGAGTGGGGAGAAGAACAGGCGGATTGACTGAAATACACTGCTGAGAAGAGCAGTAGGCGAGACAGGCGAGGTCTGTGGCATTCATGTGGGTCACCTCCCTGGCCAGCCAGCCCAGATGGAGCTCCTGCTGCAGTAGCTGCGGACTGCTTCACAGTGCTGACACTTAACCCCTTGCACCACCAGGGAGGCCCCTGATGAACTTTAGACAAAAAAAGACAAAATATCACCTCACAAATATATCTCTGATAATCACAGAAACTAAAAAGTTTTGGTCAGCACCCATGAGTTATCTTCAGACTGCATTTTCCATAGTAAAGGGAGAAAATAATTTCTTCACGCCTCTCCCTCTCCTTGGTATGAACCTAGTAAAGGTATATCTGTTACAACCATTTTCATTCACTCCTTGTGTTTGATTTTTGCAGAAGTAACAAAAACATAAGAAACAGAGTAGGCATTGATTGAAATGGGAAAATCCATTTGGAACCGATTGAGCTCATTTTGGCTAATTTTGAGCCATCATTTTACCCAGAAGAAAATATGTACCTTTTGGACTTCTTGCTATGACAGATGGTTTACAATCTGGTTTTCATTAGTAGATTTAGTTTCTAATTAACCAGTCAAAGATTAGTGGATTTGTTTGAGTTCATCTAGATTAATTGATAAAAAGTAACTGGGTAGGGCCTCCCTGGTGGCACAGTGGTTGAGGGCTGGGCTGCTGCGAAGCTGTCTGCAGCCTCTGCAGCGCCAGTTCGATCCCCGGCCACTAGCGAGGGTCCCACATGGCTTGACAGACCTCTCCTGCCATGCCCACTGCTCCCCTCAGCAGTGTATTTCGTCGGCCTGCCTGTTCTGTTCCCCGCTCTGTCTTTGGTGAATTCTCTCACCCTCCCGCGCTTCTGACTGTACCAGTGCTTGTATAAATAAAATAAATAAATCTTTAAAAAAAAAAATAAACTAGGTAGGGGCCTCTGGTGATGCAGTGGTTTAAGTCTTAGCCATTCCCTAGCTGACCCACATGGCACAGCAGGTCTCTCCTGTCTTGACCCTGCTACTTCTCTCAGCAGTGTGTTTCAGTACATCTGCCTGAATCTCCCCACTCTGTCTCTTGTGAATCCTCTCACCTCCCCCCCACCTCTGGCTTACACCCCAGTTCTTGTATGCATAAATAAATAAAAATAAATCTTTTTTTTTTTTAAAAAAAGGTAACTGGGTAAAAGGGAATTATCATTTACAAGAGAAAGGATCTCCTTCATTCCATGAGCCTTTAACACATACCTGATGGCCTGAACAATATGGCTTTTATAGAAGTTTGTTCTTTGTTTTGTTTTAAGATTTGTTTTTACCCTGTATGCCAAAGAAGAGACATTTTGATGGGAATATTCAGAATTTCTTTTTTTTTTTTAAGATTTATTTATGTATACAAGAGCTGGGGTACAGGCCAGAGATGGAGGGGGCAGTGAGAGGATTCACCAGAGACAGAGTGGGGAACAGAACAGGCAAAAATGACTGAAATACATTGGTGAGGGGAGCAGCAGGTGAGAGAGGAGAGGTCTGCTTTGCCATGTGAGTTGCTCCCTGGCAGGCTGGGGATCATACTCCTGCTGCAGAGGCTGCGGATTGTTTCATAGTGTGGTGCTTAACCCCCTGCGATGCCAGGGAGGCCCAATACTCAGAAGTTCAAGACAAAACTGAGTGGACTCTTGTTTTATTATTTTTTCTTTAAGGAAACCCTTGCCGTTTTTCCTAGGTTCTTCTCCTTCACCATCTCTTGGCAATTAGGATCCCCTGCTTCCTGGCAAATCCTCTTCATTGCTTTTTCTTGGTTTTTGTCACTTTTGGTTGAATCACTCTACCGAGCTCTCCCATGTCTTAAGTGATGGTGTATCGAGAAGCACTATGACTATTTTCTCTCTTCTTTTCCTTTGACAGACTCGTTTAATCTTGTCTTTAACCATCTCATCTGTGGATGATGCCCTCATCCACTGGCACTTGGCAAAACCTACTACATGCTCTTTTTTTCCCTCTTACCTTACTCTGACCTCCTAAATTAGGTAGGATTAGGCTTGGCTGTCAAGGATTAAACAAGAAAAAGTTAATTTCTCTCACGGCATTATCCTGAAATGCTATGGCTGCTCCACACCAGGGACTCCAATTCCATATATCTTTTTATCTGCCATCCTTAATATGTGGTGTCTACCTTTTGGTCCATGATGGCTGCTCCCAATCTAGCCATCACATCTGCATCCTGCCAGGAGTAAGAGGGAAACAAAAAAAGAAAAGTGTACTCATTCTTTTAAGGACTCTTCCCAAATGTTGCTTAAAAACAGATCTACTTTCATCCCATTGGCAAGACCGTAATACCTTGGGTTGACCTTACTGCAAAACAAGTTGGGAAATACAGTCTTTATTTTGGGCAGCTTGGTTAAAACCAGATATCTAATACTTTGAAGATGGTAGGGAGGACAGAGTGTTGGGTTTGCTGCCTCTGCTACATCTCATAGCCTATTTCTTTTACACTATTTCACATTTCTTATATCTTCTCAATATAGCAGATTGAAAGTAATTTCCTCCCCTCTAAATTTTGGCATTGCTTTCATTGTATCTTTATTACAATATCCATTTTAATGTGATGTTTTCTTGTATACATTTCGTTTTTCCTAGGATGTCATAAATTCTCACTTTACAAAAATGATGTGTAATGTGTTTAAATTGATTAGACCAATTCTAAGTGGTCAAATTTACAGCAGAGTGAAGGAAAATACTGGTTATTTATTTATTTAAAAGATTTATTTATTTATGCACACAAGAACTGGGGTACAGGCCAGAGGTGTGGGGGGGGGGCGGTGAGAGGATTCACCAGAGACAGAGTGGGGAGCAGAACAGGCAGACTGACTGAAATACGCTGCTGAGGTGAGCAGTGGGCGAGACAGGAGAGGTCTGCTTCACCATGTGGGTTGCTCCCGTGTGGGTTGTTCCATGGCCGGCCGGAGATCAAACTTGTGCTGAAGTGGCTGCGGACAGCTTCATAGTGCTGTGCTTAACCCCTTGCACCACCTGGGAGGCCCCAATACTGGTTTTTTAAAGTTAATTGTCTCTCTATAATTCATCATAGGCACATACGTTATTAGTTGAACAAATTAGTAAAAACTTATCTACAGTTTTTTTTTTAAAGATTCATTTATGCATACAAGAACTGGGGTACAGGCCAGAGGTGTGGGGGGGTGAGAGGATTCACCAGAGACAGAGTGGGGAGAAGAACAGGCAGACTGACTAAATACACTGCTGAGGGGAGCAGAGGGCAAGACAAGAGAGATCTGTGCCATGTGGGTAGCTCCCTGGCTGGGGATCGAACTCATGCTGTAGTGGCTGTAGATAGCTTGCTAGGCTGTGTCCCAACCACCTGCACCACCACGGAGTCCCTACAGTATTTATCCATCTTGTATGTCTTTGATTTTCATTGTTATGAGAGGAAAAATCTCTGAAATGGTAGAAACTTAATTCTGACTAAGCTTCCTGTATTTTTTTCTTTCAGTATTGCAGTACTACATGGAATAAAAGAGGGACTGCAGAAAGCTGTAATGGATCATTCAGTAAAAGCCATTGTGCTTTGTGGATCAGATGGCAAATTCTGTGCAGGTAACCAGTGTCTTGCCCTCTCCCACTAACTCTGGAATCCAGCCACAGACTGAAATCGATACTGCATTTGCTGTTCTTTTGGATAATTTCTTAATGGGTTAATAGATATGTAAGTCTTGAGTAGGAATGAAATCCACTGTGGAAAAAGACACAGGCGTCAAAAGAGAATCCCAGAGAAAACTTTGACCTCATTATTTGTTATTTTGGACTGGTCCCTTGGAGGATATTTCATTCCAGGCTTCCTGCCTATTTTACCTGCTAGCACACACCTGTTGGAACCTGCCTACTCTGCATATGTCTCTGCCCTATGTGAGCCTGGGCAAGTCCCTTTTAACTTTTTTTTTTTTTTTTTAAGATTTATTTATTTATGCATACAAGAACTGGGATGAAGACCAGAGGTGCAGGGGGTGAGAGGATTCACCAGAGACAGAGCGGGGAACAGAACAGGCAGACTATCTGAAATACACTGCTGAGGGGAGCAGCGGGTGAGACAGGAGAGGTCTGTCACGCAAGGTGGATCAGCTCCCTGGCCGGCAGGGGCTTGAACCCTTGCTGCAGAAGCTGCGGAGAGCTTCATAGTGCTGTGCTTAACCCCTTGTGCCACCAGGGAGGCCCCCACTTTTATCTTTGAATCTCAATTTCTCTATTTGCAAAGTAGATGCAGTAATATCTATTTTAATCACCTTTTGAAGATGAAATGAGACACTATATGTGAAAGTTCCTAGTGCCGTGCCCTCAAGCAGAAATGTTGTTTTTCATTTCACACCGAGGCTTGAAATGGAGTTCATTTTTCTTCTGGTAGTCACCTACCTCAGTGACCAGGGCACTCTTTATTGGATTATTATGTGAAGATCAAAAATATTGACAGAATATGGCAGAAGTGTTTGAAATATTGATTTATTCAATGGTATTTGTGTTACCTTTTCCTCTTTTCCCAAATAAATATATTATACCCTCTGACAAAAGTTACATAGTGATGATGGACTATACAATCTTACCATACCCAGAGGAATTTAATGTATGTTAATAGTAGCTTATGTAGTAGATATTGAAATTATGACAATATTTACATATAAAAATGTTAATATTATAATAATTGTCATTTATCTTGCCCGTATATGCCAGTACTGGGTAGGTTATTTATTTATTAATGATGAAATACTATTTTCTTTTTTTTTTTAAAGATTTATTTATTTATACAAGAACTGGGGTACAGGCCAGAGGCGTGAGAGGGTGAGAGAATTCACCAGAGACAGAGCAGGGAGCAGAACAGGCGGACTGAGGAAAACACTGCTGAGGGGAGCAGCGGGTGAGACAGGAGAGGTCTGCCGCGCCATGCCATGTGGGTTTCTCCCCAGCCAGGAATCGAACTGGCACTGCTGAGGTTACCAACAGCTTCACAAAGCTGCGTTCAACCTGCTGCGCCACCAGGGAGGCCCTGAAAAATCATTTTTAATCTCAAGTTACAGGAATGATAATTTTGAGACTCAGAAATTCATCTCGTTTAATTGGAATCAAAAAAATCTAGGAAAAAAACCACTAGACTAGAATGATGAAATATGATGGTTCAGTGAGAAAAATGCAAAATGATGCTAGAGAAGGAATACACAGCAAACGAAAAAGAAGATGAATAGGCTGAATGTGACATCATTACATTAACTTACCTTTTAAACTTGTACCAAGCAATGTTTTCAAAGACAGATAGGATATTTTTCCCAATAGCATGTATAATGTTTGTTAAAAACAGAAAATATAAGATTTTACAGGATTTTTGAGACTGTTGAAAGTATATACCTTAGTACATTTTTTATTACATTGTTTTTTTAAGATCGGTATCAAGAAAAAAATGTTAAATACCTTATTAAGGTCACACTTATATATGTGCATTGGTTAAAAAAAAACAGGAATTCACCAAAATATTGCTGTTATCTCTGTGGTATCTGAAGTGATCTTTATATTTTTATAATTTTGTGTATTTTTCAAGTTTTCTATAATGCATGTTATTTTTATAATTAGGAAAAACAATAAATGTTACTTTAATTGAAAAAAAATCTGTCACCAAACATAATTCTAAGCTGGTTGATTAACAAATAACTTACAGACATTGTGTGCATTTTACCCTGAGATTTTATTTTGTAATGACTCGTGCTCTTATTAAAGATGTGGGCCTAGATTGCTGTGAGTCAGGTTGGTGAGCAGCATCAAATGAGAACGGTTGACTCAATCTCAGAATGATGGTCTTTATTAGAGAATTCCTGGTCTCCTCGGTGCTTTTTAATTTTTCTAAATGTAGAGTTGCTACCTTATATAGAAAGACAGATTTTAGAAGAGTACAGGATTCTTACAAAGATTTGAGGATTTTCTCTCATGTTGTTTCACATTTCCCAGGTTATTTGCTCCTTTATTGTTTCTCCAGCCATAGGATGAATTGTTTCATGGGTTCAAAGAGGTCTGAGATTCCTTAAGAATTATATGGTAACTTGTTATTATATAATATAGCCCATGGCTTTCTCACCTTCCTTTTTTCTTTATATTTATGCCTTTAGGTGCTGATATCCGTGGTTTTGGTTCTGCTAAGAAGCCTAATATCTCACTAGGATATATAGTAGATGAAATACAGAAAAATAAGAAGCCTGTGGTGGCAGCAATCCAAGGTGTGGCTTTAGGAGGAGGATTAGAACTCGCCCTGGGCTGTCACTATCGGATTGCCCATGCAGAGGTAAAAGAGAGGCTCCTTATGAGACTTGGGGTGGGGGGAAAGGGCGGGCTTTTCTTTACGACAAGCTCTAAATGTTGTTATGAGCATCAGAGATGATCATTTTATTTTTTTTTTGTTTTAAATAATTATTTATTTATTTATACAAGCACTGGGTACAGTCAGAAGCATGGGAGGGTGAGAGAATTCACCAGAGCCAGAGTGGGGAACAGAACAGGCAGAAGGACCGAAGTACACTGCTGAGGGGAGCAGCGGGTGGCAGGAGAGGTCTGCGCACCATGTAGGACCCTCACGGGCTACCTGGGATGGAACTGGCGCTGCAGAGTCTGCGGGCAGCTTCCCAGCCCAGCACTCAACCGCTGCTCTGGCCACTTGTAAATGGCCAAGAAGGCAGAGTGATAAAGAATTCAAGTTCAGTCTCTTATGTGCCTGATTCTCCTTTTTTTTTGATACATGCATTTTAATCATTTAATGTATACAAATCAGTGATGTATTGGTATATTCACGAGTTATGCAACAATCACCACAGCTCGTTTTAGAATACTTCATCACTCCTCTCCCTTACCCCAGGTCCTAGGCAACCACTAATATACTTTGTCTCTATAACTTAACCACTCTAGACATTTCATATAAATAGTTCATCTAATATGTTGTCTTTTTATGTCTGACTTCTTGCACTTAGCATGTTTTCAGAGTTCATTGAAGTTAGTACTTCATTCTTTCTTATGGCTAAATAATATTCCCTTATATGGATATACTTCCCTTATATGGATGTATGAACATAATTTCTTTATCCATTCTTCAGTTGATAGACATTTAGGTTTTTACTTTTTTGACTTTCATGAACAATAAAGCCATGGAAATTTGTGTATAAATTTGATAGGCATGTTTCCATTTTTCTTGGTATATTCATGGGTAGAATTTCTGGGTTGTATTGTAACTCTATATTTCATTTTTGAAGAACTGCCAAATGTTCTCCAAGAGGCCACTCCATTTTATATTCCCACTTGCAACATATGAGGATTTTGTATTCTTCCCGTCTTGTCTAAAAATTGTTATTGTCTGTATTGTTTGAGTATAGCCACCCTACTGGGTATGAAATGGTATCTTGTGGGATTGATTTGCATTTTCCTGATGCCTAATGATACTGAGCATCTTTTCCATGTGCATTTTGGCCACTGCATCTCTTCCTTGGAGAAATGTCTATTCAGATCTTTTGCCTATTCTAATTGAATTATTTATCTAATTATTATTGCGTTGTAAAGGCTCTTTATGTGTTCAAAACATATGATTAGCGAATATTCTCTGCCCATCAGTGGGTTGACTTTCTTGAGCTACCTGGATCTCAGGACTCCATCAAGCTGTTCTGGAGAGTCCTATTTTTGTTGTCTTAATATTTAATAGAGTAATTGAGAAATTGTGTAAGGAGCTAGAGATGTGTTTCAACATGAAGGCTTAGGGACAACATGGTTCTCTTTATGCTGTTGATTGAAGTAGAGGGTGTGCACTAATTTGTCCCTTGAACCTCTCACTAAATTTTATGAAACAATGTTTTGGAAAATGTGGGAAATAAAGAGGAATGCTTTCCTTGACTCTGATGATATCACCCAATTTTAATGATCTTTATGCCTTCTACACTTGATAGACTCACATTGGCTTTCCAGAAGTCACTCTAGGAATTCTTCCCGGTGCCAGAGGAACCCAGCTTCTCCCCAGACTCATTGGAGTTCCTGCTGCTCTTGACTTAATTACCTCAGGTTAGTATCAACTCTGCCAATAGCTGTCTACATCAATATGAAGAACTAGTCTAGGCTTTTAAAAACTCCTGGGTGACCATTCCCTACTCATATATCCTTAAGCAATTACTTTAAATTCTTTGATGTTAATTTTATCATCCATAAATGGAAAGGATACATTCTCTGGGGGCTTTTCAAATGTTACCATGGTGATCAAATGTGATGACTTTGTAAATGAAAGTGTATATACATACTAAATACATTCAGGATTTTAGTATAGTTCAAGTATGTATTTACAGACACTGGTGTCACGTAGGGTACTTTATATTCAGATGATCCAATTTGGAAATTCAGATGATACAATTTGGAAATTGTAATATAAACAAGACCAGAATTCTCAAAATAAATTTTCAAGTTTTAGTGTGGAAATGATTGAATTTTTCCTTTCCAATGACTAAGATATTAGCTACAATTAGAAGGGTTGTTCTTTTTTCAATAGGGAATATCAACAGCACAACGCTAGAATACATCTAGAAACTCTAGATTTAACAAACACCATAAGGTGATATATAAAGAGATTTCGAGTTGAGGTAAAGTTGGAATAAAGAACATATACAACTATTTAGTCCAACAGGTAGAACTCATTATGAGTCCTTGGGGTCAGTCACTTTATCTTTTTGTCCCTTAGTTTCCTCATAAATGTGGCAAATAATATTATCTGCCACATACTTAATACTTACAGTGAAGATAAGTTAGATAAGTTAATGAAATGCGCTTAGAACAGCCCTAGACTTGGTGCTGTGTTTGTTGTGTATTATTATTCCCATATCTGTCTTCCTACAATAATAGGCAATTGATGAGAATCTTGGTATTAGATTATATCCTGAAGAATGGGCAAAAAAAAAGAGTATGAGCTTTAGAATCAAAGACTTGAATTTGAGTCAACATTTAGACAACATGATTTGTGCAAGTTAATTTTTATTTATTTATCCAGCAACTATTATAGTTTTCTCTCATGTGCCGAGTTCTGTTCTAAGCATTGGGCCTATAGTAGTGAACCAAACCAAGAAAAATGCCTGCCCATACGGTGATTATGTGGAGAAAACTATACCAGTAAAACATTAATCATAATTCCATATTTTATCAGCTCAAAAATGTACTTTTTCTCACATATTTCAAATTAGGATGCCATTTACATTTACTGTGAATCTTGTTTTGATTGACAGTAGTTTTTCCTACTTTGTGTAGGGCTTGAAGATTATAGGAAGAATGCTTGCTTTTCTTTTGAATGAGTTAGAAAGGCATTGGAGTTTTTTGAGTAGAGAAATAGCACGCTCTCACTTATGCTTTTTAAAGATCACTTTGGCTATTAAAAATATGTTATTTGGAAGTTAGGGCATAAATAGATTGGATAGAGGACTGCTATAATAATCCAAGAGATAGATAATGGGAACATGGACCTGAGTGGAACAATGTAAATGGTGAGACATGGTTAAATTCTGGGTATATCTTATGATGACAGGGATTCACAGGCTTGTGTGGCAGATCAGATGTGAGATGTACCAGAGGGAAGAGAGTGAGGATGATTCTAATAGCAGGACAGCTGGAAGGATAGTATCATTACCAAAAAGAGAGTATCTGCTGGTAGACAAGTTGCAGGGAGAAATTATAAGAACTTAGTTTTGCATGTGTTATGTTTGAGAAGCCTAGTAGACATCCAAATGGAGATGTCAAGAAGCCAGTTGCATAGATTGACCTTGAAGTTTATCAGAGAGGTCTTCTGAATGCTGCTTAGCGGTGAAACAACCACTAGTTGGTTTATGGGATAATGAAATTACATGGCATGCTTCTGGTATATTACTGTCACATAGGAGACACTTTATAAATGGTAACTTCAGTAGGCAGAACAATTGGACCCCCAAGATGTCTACATCATAATCCCCAGAATCTGTGGATATATTACCTTTTATCACAAGGGACTTTGCAGACAGACATACATGTAGAAGGATTTTAAGATTACTTTGGATTTTCTATGTGGGCCTGACTTATCACAGAGTCCTTATGTTGAGAACCATGACACCAGGGGTCCTTGATGTCTCACAAAAGAATTTCATGAACCATCAGTATGAAGCCAGCCTCAAAGTTTATTAGGAAGTGACAGGGCAGAACTCCGCGTGAGGCAGCCTCAGGAAAGCGGGAGGGCTGCTCTGAACAGTAAAGCAAGAGGGTTTTTCAAGTATTTTTTCCCCCTCATAACTGTGCATACCTTTCTCCTGTCACTCCTTTTTGGGGACTAATTGGAATGGCCCTTCCCCCTTCCTCCAGGACTGTGTGGTGGCAGAAACAGCTGTGCTCCTCTGGGGGAGTGTGTTAGGGCCTGTTTTTATCCTTAATACCTGAAAGAGGCAGGCAGGGGTTCAGAGAGGTGAGACAACACTAAACAGCTTGGCTTTGAAGATAAGAAAAGGCCAGAAGCCAAGAAGTGTAGGCAACTGGTAGAAACTGGATGGGCAAAGAAACAGATTCTGCCTTAGAGCCTCTACAAGAAATGATTGACTGACCTATTTTCAACTTCTGACATCCCAAACTTAGATTAATTAATATGCGTTATTTTAAGCTACTAGATGTGTGTTAATTTGTGTAGGAAGTTAATGGCTCTTGCTTTTTGGTTTGGAAAAACTTTTTTTTCTAAGAAAGGATTATAAAAAGAAATTAATTGTTACTTAAAGTCAAAGATTCCCTACTAATGTAAATTCCCTACTAATGTGAAAGAAAAACACCAGCTTTGTAGACACCAACTTTGTAGACACTGTCCCCACTGGAAATTAAGAAGTAAATAAATTTAAGATTAAATTAACACATAAATAGCTAACCTTTCTGATCTGACATCCATGAGAGGTAATCCTGGAAAGTGGAATAATTCCAACTCTAACCACTGCTTCCCCTCAATTCTCTTAAATTTAAATGCCACTTGAAAGCAACAGGACCTTGAACAGCCATCACAGAAGATAAGCTTGGGCACATTGCAGTTCTCTGCTATTCAGCTGACATTCTCTGTCTCATCAAATCATGAGAACTGCAGTTTCCTGCCTTTCCTCTGCTTTTATTTTCTAAGTCCCTTCCCACTTGTTCACCGAATAGCTCTATTCCCACAGAGCACTGCCCCTGTCCTGAGGAGCTGTTTTAGGATTGTCTCAGAGAGGGATGCCCTTGGGCTCTAGACTTTGAAGAGCTACCTCTCACCACCCAGACTATGAGGGAGGAAGTTGGGGGTGGCATCTTTCTCCTGCCTGCCTTTCTGGATTTATGTCCAGGTGGGTTTTCCTTTATTTGAACAAGATGTTGAGGGTGAGTTTTAGTACCCAGGGCTCCCAGGCAGCCATAATAAACATCACATGATCAAAACAAACAGACAAAAATATGAAAACCAAACCCCAAACCTAAAACCTATAAAAATATCCTGTGACATTAAAAAAATTAAACAAATATGAATCTGCTGAAAAAGATTAAATGCAAACTTTAGAAAATTCACATTAGTCATGAAAGAAAATATTTTATTTATTAAATAAGAACACTCCGTTTAAAATCAAAGCATTAGCCAAAATAATTTTTTTTGAAACAATGAATAAAGTCATAATAGATCAGGCAGCTGAATCAGCACCATGGAGGATAGAAACCCACTTATAAAATTCAGAAGAATTTAACAAAAAGATACATAAAGTGTAAATGAGGCAGTAGAAATGGAAGGTATGTAATAGAGGTTTCTGCTACAAATAAGAGCTCCCAAAGCACAAAGCAAAAGGTGAGAAGCAGTAACCACAGGAAAAAATAGGAGAAATTCTTCAGATTTGAAATAGAATCCAAGGCTGTATTTTAGCAAGAACACCATTTTCCTGGAAAAACTGATGAGGAGAGATCAATGCCCTAATGTACTTTGGTAATGATTTTATACTTCCAGGAAATAGAATCCTGTAAGCTCCAAAGGATAAAAGCAAACACAGCAAAAGGTTACTTTCAAAAGAACTAAAATCACTCCAGCCATAAATGAATGCTACTAATGGGACTTGCACATAATAAGCGCTATGCACCTTTAAAGTGATCATTTAAAGCAGGAGCTGGCACAGTGTGATCCAGGGTCTGCTGAGCCTGTCTCCCACCACTAGGGGAGAGTGGAATCACACCTCTTTTATAATAATTAATTACTTGCCTTTTCCACTCTCATTTTCACAAAAGTGTACAGTGGAATTTTCTAGAGGCCTTTATGTGCCATGTCATATTGTTACAGGGCAGCCCCGATATAAAACGGGTGCCTGGCTGTGGGTCCTCACCCGCGTGCTTAAAAGGGACTTATTAATACTCCACTACAGCACACACAAAAGGTTAATAAAAGGTTTATTTACAAGAGAAGGGGAAATGAGGAAATGTACAACTCAGGGAGAAAATAGGGAGATAAAGTCTTAAATGCATCCTACCCGTTCTGCTGACCTGGAAACCCAATGGCACTCTGAGAGCTGGCTGTGAGCCCAGAGCCGTGAAGCCAAAAAGGACCCCAAGACCCACATGTCTGGTTTTTATACCCAACCTGGCTGCTTAACTCCACCCTCAGGTCCCAGCAACCTTCCCTTTGGTGGTGACGGGATTTGTCTTTCCCAGTGTCCTGATGGCTTTGGTCTGGAGTGGGGGTGGAGTCCACAACGCCTGTATGGAATTAGCTTAGGACATCCTTTTCCCCCTAACAATATCACAATAGATTGCATCCAGAAGCAGATTAGAAAATTCCACTGTCTTCTATTAAGCCAGACATTAAAGAAATTTGCAAAAATATAAAACAATGACTCTCTTCTCAGTAGTAGTTTCAATTTTGAAAATTTAGTCATTTTGCATAAAATTCATTTGTTAACATGTGATAGGTTTATCATTGTTTTTTAAGGGACTTAATATACACTTTTAAAGTTCTCGGTTTTAATTTCTAGAACAGTAAACAATGATAGAAATAACTCACATAAATAAAAACTCTGAAATCCTCTATAACTTTTAAGTGTGTAAAGAATATAATAAAAAGCAAGAAAAGGGCCTCCCTGGTGGTGCAAGGGGTTAAGCACCGCACTATGGGGCAATCCACAGCATCTGCAGCACGAGTTCAATCCCCTGCCAGCCAGGGAGCAACCCACATGGCGAAGCAGACCTCTCCTGTCTTGCCCACTGCTCCCCTCAGCAGTGTATTTCAGTCAGTCTGCCTGTTCTGTTCCCCACTCTGTCTCTGGTGAATCCTCTCACCACCGGCACCTCTGGCCTGTACCCCAGTTCTTGTATGCATAAATAAATAAATGTTTTTTAAAAAAAAGCAAGGAAAAAGGAATGGTGGTTGGTACATGGGAACTACATATTATTTAGCCAATAAGTTTCAAGAGATTTTATTGATCTCATAGAACAGTGACATTTGTTTGTTTACGACATTTCTTCATGAGATCGACTCTGAGTATTTTTGTAATGTTTTTTCCACAAAACTGAGTATAAAGGGAAAGCATTAATCAAGTTACATTGTCATGAACTAATTCCATTCATAATTAAAAGTCTAAGGCTAAAATGTTTGAGAATGAGAACTGATTATCAAAATCCATGTTTTGACACAAAACCACAATATAGAACTGTGTACACATGAGCCAAGTTAGAAAATGAGTCTATATACATAAAAATAGCTTTTTTTTCTTTAACAAAAAGGAAGGAGTGTTATAAATTCTATAAAGTATGAAAGAAGGAGGAAAAAATGTTATATTTCTTCAATAAATTAATTTCAAAATTGTTTTATTTTACAGTGTTATAAGTTTACTTTTACAAATGTGATCTGTTTTAAGTAATGTAAACTTCATGTGAAGATGTCTACAATCCAACATGCTGCAGGAATCAAAGCACATTCTGAAAGAGACAAAATAGAAAGAAAGCAAAGAAGCAAAAATATAGGAAAAAATGTAATGGAGTGAAATGAATCTGTAAAGTCTAAAGTTTATAAAAATTAAGGCTTGGAGGTGAATATTGAGGAATTCCTTGACTATTTTTAGTATTAAATCTCTATGGCAAGATTATCTCAGGGAAAATCAGGAGAAAATCTGGCTTATTTAACAAAACAAAAATGAAGTGAACTGGATTGGCCTTTCCCGAAGTACTGCTGCTTATAGAAATATTACTATTTTTAATGTGGTGATGGAAGGAAGAAGTAAAAACAGAATATGATGGATTTTTATTTGCATAGAAAAGATCACCATGAATTAGAGGAAAGCGAACCTTAGAGTCATGCACCTATCTTTTAATTAGTCTTACAATTTTAGGGAAACTTTTAAATGACACCTGGAAATGGTTCCATGTAGGAATTTTTTCCTAAAGGTTGGAAAAGAAGCCACAAATAAAACTGGAAAAAAAAATTGAGATTATCTCAGCCACAGTTGCTTTGGGGTCTACTTAGAGTAGACCTAGACAGGACTCTTCCTAGAGCTCACTGGACAGTGGTTGTCATCTACATCGAGGCAACACAAGAAGAAAAAAGTTTATATCCCAGCAAAATAACACTTGATTTCATCTCAGTTAGTTCCTCACCTGAGGATTCGGGTTGGATGTATAAAGTTGTGTTTTTAAGTCCTTGAAGCAGAATAAAATTATCTGGATCTCATTGGCTGTAGAAAACAGTAGTGGGAAGCCTCCTCTTTTATGAAATCTAGACCAGAAGAAATCATTATAGCTGCAGTAATATTCTGTCCATCCTGTGGGCAGTTCATGTCCCCCTAGTCAGTGGCCCCAAATATCCTTTCAGGTTTCATGTTCCATTTTGTGTCCATGTGGTCCCCTTTACCCGGGGAGACTGATTCACCTCTCGCTCAAGTGATTTTATGCACAGGAGACTCAATCCCTAAAGCTGTTTACTGTCTGATCTTATCTGCTACCTTCGAAGCTTCTGTAGTATAGGCAGCAGTGGTCCTCAGCTCCTGCAACAGTGATTCCATAAATTAAGGGAGGGGTCAAGATGCTGGGGAGCCAGAATATGCCAGAAGTCCATCCCATTGGTCCTGTGTTTTTTGATTACCATTCATATAATGCTAACTTGATTTCTTTCTGTCTATCCATCTATATTTTCGGGCACTTTTTTTTTTTTTGTAACCAACAGTCCCTGCTGCTGGTACAAAACAGATAGCACTACTCTGCTGCTAATACTGCTATTGTTATTATGAAAGAATCAATTGTCTCATTTATATAGAAACGTGTAGTTCGTAAAATACTTCTATAGAGATTTATAGGCTATAATTAGACTACAGCAATCTAATTTAATACTCAAAATTGCTAAGTTAAGCACAATTATCCCCATTTACCAATGAGGAAATTGTGGTTGTAGTACTTCACTGTAGAGCCAGAGTTTAAATCCAAATTTTCTGGTTACTTCTCAGTAATTCTGTAATGCTCTTTTACTGCAAGTCACTGTGGCGCTTATTAGATTCATTTAATAAAAGCTGTTTATATCCTAGACAGATAACCTTCCCTTTTAGAGAAATTAATGCTTTTGCCTTCATCTCACATCCTTCTTTGTTTTGTCTTGTTTTTTTTTTTTAGGGAGACGTATTTTGGCAGATGAAGCTTTCAAATTAGGTATTCTAGATAAAGTTGTGACCTCAGACCCAGTTGAAGAAGCTATCAAATTGGCCCAGAGAGTTTCAGGTAAGACAATAATAATAAAATAACACAAGACTGGAAGCAAGCTCTTTGTCCACTTTCATGAGGAATTCAAATATCTTATTGTACATCCACAGAATGGAATATGGCACAACTTTAGAATGAATGAGGAACTCTGTGCATTGATATGGTCTGAGCACCATGACAAATTGTATTAAGTAAATCAAGCATCTTTGTGGAAAATGGTTTACCATTTGTCTAATAAGAAAGCTGGGGGTGGTGGAATCACATGTCTACCTGGGGAGAATGTACACATGTAACTGTCTATGTCGGAAGTATTGCTATAAGGATTCTTAAGAAATGGGTATTGCTCCTCTGGAAATGGGCTGGTCAGTCAGGGAAGCAGCTGGAAGGGTACTATCTTCTGTACTTTTTGAGTGTTTATTCAATAAATGTGTTTTCTATTATGGTATACAGTTAAAATTAAGAGAAACAAGCAGGGCCTCCCCGGTGGCGCAGCAGTTGAGCGCTGGGTTGCGAAGCTGCCTGCAGCCTCTGCAGCGCCATTTCGATCCCCGGCTGCTCCCCGGCCACCAGAGGAGGGTCCCACATGGCGCGCAGACCTCTCCTGCCGCCCGCTGCTCCCCTCAGCAGTGTCCTTCGGTCCTTCTGCCTGCTCTGCTCCCCGCTCTGGCTCTGGTGAATTCTCTCACCCTCCCGTGCTTCTGACTGTACCCAGTGCTTGTATGTGTGTATGTATGTATGAATAAATAAATAAATAAATCTTAAAAAAAAAGAGAAACAAGCATACAAACATTTCAGCAAATGGAAGAAAATCTGCATAATTTACACAATAAAACCATGATTCTGTCACTGTAAACTGTTTTCTCTCTCTCAATGGTTTCTCAATTTAAGGATTTATGACATTCCTCCAAGAGTTCTTTTTGCTGTTTCTTTTCAATTCATGGAGGTTGGAGCAGGAGGGAGAGGGTTAAAGAGTACCAGAAAGAATAATTGGGAGGAGTACTGGGCGGCTGTGTGATTATTCCTCCCTAGGTGGTCGGCAATGGCTCTGTGCCATTCAAAGGCTTTCTTTGGAAAAAGTCATTCTTTTGTTGACCCTGGCAGGCACCAAACACTTCCCTAAAAGAATCTTTCTTTTTGTGGCTCTAACCAGTTGCTGTTTCAATGCAATAGTAAAGGCCTGCACTGAGAGCCTGGGAATTGGGGGAGAACAACACTGGTGACTCAGTATCAGCACGTCTTTGCTCTAATGGGAATGAGTTTCCTGGTAACTTTCTCTGCTTTGCAATGACCTTCAGTGTTTCATCACATGTTTCTTGGTGCTTCTAGAGAGGGCTTATTGTAAGAAGCACTGGGTGAGTTAACAGCAAAGACTATTTGCATTTGGAGATCCCTAAATTATTTTAGATCCCTAAATTATTTTAAGGTTGATCCATGTCTATCATTTACACCATAGTTTCAGGTTTGTTTTGTTTTCTTCAATGGCTTCAGATTTTAAACAGAAATTCCTTTTTCTTAAGTGATTCCCTAAATTTGGAACTGTTACTTTAACAGATGAGGATCACAATCTAGCACTTCTATGAATGTTCTATTTTCATTAAAATTATTTAATTTTTAAAATTACATTAAATTTTTGAACATTAAGTTACCTTTTTTCTTTATAAAATGGTTTACTCAATCCCAGCAATATTGCAGTTTGTCCACAAGATGGCATCCAAATATCGGGGACGAATCATACTTTAAAACTTAGTAATTCACTGTTAACAACAGAGGGATGTGCTGGGCTTTAGGAAAGTATATATACCTATTTAAAATTATAATCATGAAGACTTTCATTATTTCATGAAGCAATATGTAAAGTTGTGATATAAAAAGTCTAAAATATAAATTTACATAGATTCTATAATTATTGCTATCAGAGAATGTATGAATATAGACAAAATTTAACTACACAAAAATAAAGTTAGCTTTTCTCAATTTTTTGTTAAATGACTTTTACTTTTGTTTTGATTTTTGTCCAGCTTTATTGAGTTGTGATTTCTACACAAGAAAATTCATACATTTTTAAAGTGTAGAGTTTGATGGATTTTTGTAATTGTTTGTAGTTATGTAACCACTTCCCCAATCAAGATGTAGCTCAAAAATGTTTTCATGCCTCATTCTAGTAGATTCCCTCCCCTACCTTTTGGCCACAAACACTGGCCTACTTTCTATTACTATAGCTTTACTTTTTTTTTTTTTTTTTAAATTTCATGTAGACAGAAGCATACATGTAGTATGTACGTACACTTTTGTGTCTGACTTCTTTTACTTAGCATAATGTTTTTGGGATTCCTCATATTATTTCACGTATTAATTTTCAATTCCTTTTTATTTCTGAACAGTTATCCATAGTGTGAGTACACCACAATTTGTTTATCCTTTTACCCACTGAAAGAACTTTTAGGTGTTTTCTCCTTTGGGTCTACAGGAGTCTTTGTAGATACATGTTTTCCTTTCGCTTGTGTAAATATCTAAGCTTCGTATGTCTTGGCTGTATAGTAAACATATGTTTAATTCTTAAATGCTTTTTAAACTTGATAATAAATTAAAAAAAAACCCTTACAAAAATAAAAAAATAAAAACCACCCTTAGTGACTTGAAAGACACTCACTAATTTTTGCCAAGCAAATTCGCAGAGATAGAAAAATAACATGGTAAGATTGAGTTTAAATAAGATGTTTACACTCCTTATATGTATTCCATCTAGTGGACAATAGGACAAACCTGTGCTCAGGCTTATTCCTGTATTTTGATTTGCTCGTCCAGCTTAAGAATTTACCACAGGAATAATCACAGAGTATGCAAAGATTTGTATACAGTAATACTCACTGAAGCTGTATCACTGTTAAACATCAGAAACAACTAAATCATGTTACATAAAAGTCGATAAGTCTCAATGAAATGATCCCATTCTGCATTTAAAATTCTGTACTTAAAAAAAGTTGAAAATTTGGGGCAATGCTTATATGTACTATTAAGTAGAAAACAGGTAGATAGGAAATTGCACAAATATGTGGGTATGTGTATGTATTAAATTATTTACATAAGAAAAATATATAACAGATTTTTATAGTGGTTGTATTTGGGTGCTAGGTGATGAAGAAGCTTGATTTTTTTTTTAAGTTTATCTTTTCCTAATGAATCATTCAATTTACCAAAGAAAGAAGGGTGCATGGTCAGTGTGGAGGGGTGCTGTCAAAGTATTTCATTTTCATCCTATTCCCACCCAACCTATCACTCTCCCCCACTGCTGAAATGTTGATTTTAAAAAAATAACAAAGGAAAAGTTTAAGAACACTTATTTAGTTTCCATATCCAATAGTAAAGGAGACAGGGAAGCGAATTTCTGGGGTCAGTGTTGCAATCAGTATTTTTGAAATCAGTTATGAGTGAGAAGGCACTGCAGGAGGTTAGCATGTATCTTAAAATGTGATTTGGGAAGAAGCTGTGCATTTCTCCACAAACTTAACTTACATCCTGGAGAGCTGACTGTGGAAGTTAATTAGCTTCGCGCATCTTAATGCTCTTGTTCTAGGAAGCCTCTCAGACTACCGCAGTGCTATAGGTTTAGCAGAGCTGTTTGGAAATACTTGGCAAACCAGATTGCTTTGGCTAAACTGGGGAGGGGAGGGTCCTGAAAATGCTATTTATTTGTACTTGCATTTGGCCAGAGGCCTGCTTGTCCCAATCTGGATAAGAGCTCCCTCTTCTCCATGTGATGTGTCTGGCATGAAGCTGAAAAGTATGTGCTGTTATTTAAAGGTGGGCACAGGAGACATCCACTGGGAGTCTCCACTCAGGAACCTGGTGCTCTGGTTTTGTCCTGGAATGAGCCCTGGTCCTCTTCTGTGACTGCACTGGGCTGTAACTATTTTTAGTGATTCTAATTTTGCCTTTTAAAGACCTTGGTCTATTTGTCTGCTTGGATTTTGTGGTTTTGGAAAAAAAAAAAAAACCTCAATGCTTTCATGTCTTTGTCTTCCTTTTCTCTGTACCCTTAATTCATTTTTACTCTCTACGTTATAAACATGCTTCACAAGAGAGAGTGACCTGGCCTCACATCGGAGGCCTAAACACATGTCTACGATGAGCTTTCTTTTCATGTCCTGCCCAATGTCTGTGGGTGATCCCTGCAAGCCTGGAAACAGGCAGTTGTTCTGTCTGTCCTAGGCAGAGTTTCCATGACAGACACAGCTTACAGTTTATCAGAATTAGAGAAAAGAGGGTCTTTATGTCTTTGGAAACCATTTGGCCAACTGCATGTTGTCTCTCTATCCTAGCCAGAGAAAAATCTCTTCTTGCTGTTTTACCAGAAAGGAAAGAAGGAAACTAATTGTCTCCTATTCTTTCTTCAGGAACGTGATACATTTGATTTTAATAAAAACTTTAATTTTCTTCTGTTTTAGAAAACTGAAGAATTAAGGAAAAAATGTGATTGGGTTGGAAATATTTCAATTATAATCATATTTGAATCAATAAATACTTCCTCTCCTTCCCATCCTGGGCAGCTAGACCCAAAAGGAAATTTCTGAATATATTTTGTTGTAATAAACCAAAGTTATAGGATAATAGCATCTTTCAGTTACAGCTTCAGCAAGAAAGGGATAGGAAATTGAGCAGGGAAAACTCATCTCCTGTTGTGTCCTGATCCAGAACTCTCCAGTGAATGTGCCTGACTTGACCTTGGGCTGGTCTGGACAAGTGCGTGGATGCTCCCACAATGCCCAAGTGCAGCCTGGGAAGCTGAGTATCCCCATGATAACTGGGGGTACAGCACAACTGGGTTGTGCTGGTCAGCAATAATTACTGCACTTCATTAAGCAAGCGTTGCTTTTCTTCTTTTTCTTCTTCTTCTTCTTTTTTTTTCTTTTCAATGCCTGATCCAGGGCAAAGTTGCCAAGAGCTTCAGCAGACGTTAATTTATAAAAATACTGACACCTATATTCTTTTTTTTTTTTTTTTTTTTAATAGAGGCATGC